ATTCAGGTTGCTCTGTTTTTGCTTGACCGGTGGGTAACGTTAAATTTTTTTTTTCTTCTAAATTGACGCTTATGTTCGCCAAACCCACACAAGGATATGATTAGCTAGAACTATGCATGTTCACAATTATTTCAGGAAGCACAGAAGGGAGGGGGAGGAGATGACATGCGGAGGAGGGAGGGTCTAGCTCCGATTTGTTTGAAAATATTCGAACGTCAACACCCAGGATCGCTTTAAGAACCTTTAAGCCTACTCCGTTTGCAATGTGTATGTGGTGCGTATACGTACGGTATTACCGTATTACGGTACAGGAGCAGTACGCGCTATAGTGCTTTCACATATCTTGCATTTGCAGTGCGTAACTGATCCGCGGCTGTACCACAAGCACATACTCACTATTTTTATTTCAAATCCAGACTTTATGCAGCAACTTTTATTTAAAAAAAGTTTTGTCAGCATTGCGATTCTCTTTGTACACATACACAAACTTGAATGGACGTATGCAAGTTTAAACACAATTTAAACAACGTACATGTAGGCTTATAATTCCGTGCATTAATTCTATATAGTATAGCTAGCCTATTATGTTGCTCAAGCAAGTGGTCAAATATTTAACCATGTAGCCTACTTATATTATCGCAAACATTTTAAATTAAAACTTAATATTGACAAAAGCCCATTCTTTTGCCTTTTCTTTTGCATTTAAATTTTATTGCAATGAATCTTGCATGTCACATAGAACTTGTTTTTCCACCTCCGCGAATGAGACGAGTGTCGTTGATCATGTCGTTCATCATGTCCATCACTCAGCCGAGTGTTTTAGCCTTAATGGGGCTGCGTTGAACAGAGCGCTCGCAGAGGAATTGGACCTAGATTCATGCCGAGGATCGGCCAGGTGTTTTAGCCGTAGGCCACGTTTACATAAAGCCGGGTATTTAGCGAAACGAACATTTTCCTCCTCTCTGTTTTCAAAAATAACATCGTTCACACACCCGCATAAATACGCCCGTCGAACGCCATCATAACTATGCCAAACCTATTGGCGGCAGTGTAGGGAGAAGGATGCCATGCAAGCCAATCAGAATCCTCGGAATCGTCAAGAGAGAACCTAAAATGCAGTTTGTCCCATGCAGTTCACACGACAACGGCGTTTTCAGAAATCTCCACTTTGGCCGGAGTTTTTAGACATAATCGTTTTCTGTGCTAAAAACGGGGTTTTTGTGTAAACGAGAGGCCACACCGCAGGGAAATATCTGCGTTTTCCCTTCGTGTAAACGGGGCCTTAATGGGGCCGCTTTTGGGCCGCACAATTTTTGCTAGCTGAGTCCTTGTTGAAGGGAATACTTGCTTAAAACCACGATCTTAAAGTAAAAAGATGAAAAGTAGTATTTAATTAAACACATTTATGGTGAGATTACTACATTTTAAGGTCAATCTGTGTTAATTTTTTTTTTTTTTGACCACGAACTGTGCGTTGTCAGTTTAATTCAGCGTTTGCAGCACGGCAAAAATAGACTCGGTGCGGAAACGATACGCAACGCACCTGGAACGGAACGATGGACTGCTTCCGCGTGCAGTGTGAAAGACTTGATGACATCGTCAACATGGGTACGGAAAAAACGCACTGCAAACGGAGTATGTGTGAAACAGGCGCAAGACTTTACAATGACGTTTATTTTTTGTGGCAATGTGTTTGTCACATGACCACTGACACTGATGAAAGTCTGTTTATCACCAAAATGCTGATGCATTATATCAAAATAGATCCTTCCCATTTTTGAAAAGAGAGTATAGGGCAACATATGAATACTGCAAACTATGACTGACAGTAATAAATACATTTTAATTGACCACGAAAGAAAAAGGCAAGATTAAGAAAGATTTATGACTGTTATGGTTGCTTCAGACAGTTTTCGCTTTTGTGTTACCCTCTTAATGGATTAGTTTGATGAAAGCATTGCAAACAGAGCTCCCTCTGTAATTCATTTTTTTCTGCTTTTGATAACAGCTCTTTCATAAGGAGAAGATCAGTGCCAAATGTTGGACAAAACATTTTTTGTGGGTTTACAATTAGGTAGGAGTGAACTTTTTTTTTTTTTGGACTGAATTTTCATCATTAAGTATTTGACATGGTGTTTCACCAGAGTGAGTATTTATTTGGTGTTGCATCTAATAAATAATGTAATTGGAGAAAATATGGCTGAAAAATTATGACTATCCTGTTTTCAAAACAAACAAAAAAACAATTTAGCTTGATGATTTAATTATAAGCCCATGAAAGGACTTGGTTGTTTATGTCCCATGTGGTTTTTGGATAAATGTGTGAAAGGTGAATAGTAAGCAATGAACGCATGTAACCTCGGCCAACTCATCATTTAGCAGAATGGGGCTGCTACGTCCAGTCTACCGTGTGAGAGGGTCTATGCGCTGATAGCATCTATTCTTCATCACAGCCATGACTCAAGCAGATACACTGACTGGATTTATCTAACACACACAAACAGCACAAGTAGGCCTAAAATGAGGGTAGATGAACTCTAGTGACTCTCATGTTTTTCTCTTTTCATGCTTTCTGTGGTTTGTGGTTAAGTCCTCAGTTGTGTCATTGGGGAAGATTTTCTACAGTCATTGTTTTCAACATTCAGGCATTCCAGGTCAAAGGCCTCTCAGCTGCTTTGTGTCAGATGAATCAGTCATCTGTATTGTAATCTGTCTTAACCCCCTTGTCTCTGTGCAAAAAGTTATTTGTTCACACTTTATATTAGATGTCTTTAGCATGTACTATACATAAATAAGTTGTTTGGTACAATGTACTGATTGTGTTCATGTTGTATTGCAAAACACTTTTTCTGCTATTAAGGTGGGATATAGGTATGGTCGGGACTGGTTTTGTGGTAAAGTTAGGTATGACCCTTGTCAACAGTGTAATTATACAGTAGATGTAATTACAGAAATTGTACAGAAAAGGAATAATTACAGCTGAAATCACATGCCGGTATTTTTAAAAAATAATGTTAAAATTATTACTATATTACATTACACTTAATATAAAATGGGGCTAGTTATCTTGTGCTGCAGAGGCACACATGCAGAAAAAGAACTGCAATAAACAACTTTCACAAACTTCTACAAATCCCCTTCCACCCCTTGCATGTTTTTAAAATGAAATGTTTGGGCTAATTTGATAAAGCTTCCAGTTACCAATAAGACTGCAGTACTCTAAGTCATTTTTAAGAATTCCTACCATGTTCATCAGTGCATTTTCACAATATCAGTGCAGAATGGGCTAAATTAGTTAATCTGTGTCTACAAATGGCCCACAAAACTATATAAATAACAAGCAGATATATGGCTTTGAGTAGAGTTGTGATCAAATGTTAACTTAACTGTAAGTCAGTTAACTTAAATGCAAAAGTGTACTAATAGTAGCTAATCCAAATGAAACCATGAACAATGTTTGATCCAGCCTGATGCCAATGCTAGCTCTGATTTAATAGGGCAGGCATCCTCTGTGTTAGAGCAATAACCAGCTTAGACTGGTTACAGCTGTTTTTCCAGGAAGGTAGTGTCTTAATAATGATGATATGCTTGAACTCTTGAATGTGAGGATTAGCTTCTTTGTGTGAGGTAGAAGATGAAGGTTGTTGTTTTTTTGTTTTTTTGATGGGAGTGTGTGGGAGACTCTTGGAAATTTCAGGACATGTACTTTTACAAACCTGCAAGGGCAGCTCCTGACATGTTGCCCCTGGCATTTATGTGGGATTTTTATGTGTTGATCATGATGTGGGTGTTTATAATTTTCTGGCAGCACACATGTGTCTCAATGCATCCATTAAAAAGGAACTGGCAATCAGTCAATAACAAATGGGTTGCATGACCTGTGTTTGTGGTGGTTTGAAATGATAGTGGGCATCCACTAGGTGGCATATGTGGTTCACAAACTAGTACATAGTACATGGCAGCACCATTGTCCACATAAAAACTTGTGATTGGTGCAGCTCTTATTTTTATAAATAGGCCATTGTTCTAATGATCTATATTTCCAGAGGTCCATTGTCAAATAGTCCTTTGTGTGCATGTGTATATATGTGTGTGTGTGTGTGTGTGTGTGTGTGTGTATACAGTATATATATATATATACTGTATATACGTATACTGTATATATATTATATATTTTTATATATATATATATATATTGTGGAATAATGCTATTGTTTTCCACTTTCTAGATTTTAAAAGACTGTATTATCCAATCATGTCACTGCTAAGACAAATGATACAGTCCCATCCTGTAATTTTTTACAAGTATTAATGACATTTGATTTTATAGTCTATCATTTAATATCCTTTTAATATCTTGTATAACTACAAGTATAGCTACCGTTTAAAATTTTGATGCTGAGATTTGTTTTTTTAAAAGGAATTAACATTTTATTCAGCAAGGTTGCAATAAATTGACCAATCAGAATCAAGGATTGGAATTAACCAAGTTTTATAAATGTTATAACAGTTTTTTTTATTTATTTTTTTTATTTTTTTTATTTCTTGTGGTAGTTGTAGCCATGTCTATATACCTTGTTTGTTTATTTTATCAATGTAAACCAACAACTGTAAAGCAGTTGTTGGAGTGTCTAGAAAAGCGGGATAAAAATTAAATGTATTATTATTATTACTTCCTGTTTACATTTTTTTCCACCATTAATGTGTTGCCTCACCCTGACCAACTCTTTTGAGATATCAAAAATCTGCTGGAATTTAGCATACTCAATATCTTGAGGAATCCTCTATAAGACTGTATAAGAATGCGAAAGTTGTTTGGCCTGATAAGATCTTTAAGTGTATGAAATTTGGTTACAAGTGAAAAGCAGAGCCCCTTAAATACAACCATATAGTGTGCGCCACAGCGACCCCCCCCCCCCCCCCCCCCCTAAAGTTCAAAACTTGCCATACATCTGTCACTCTGTTACCCTGTAACTGGTAAAGAAACATTTGAGACGTCATCCTAGAACAAAATTTTTAATTCATTTAAACAAATTAATTTCAAACATAGAAATCATTGTTCAAATGTAGATACACATTTTTCATTGGACCTTTGTGTTTTGTTTCATGGTTGTGAATACTTCCATCAGGTCAATGTATACTGTCAGCAGCGTTTGTTAATGTCGACCACAGAAAGTGAAGAACACACTTTCACATTTAACTGTATCTAAGATCTAATTACATTAGCAGCAATCGGCAAAAGTCTGTTGGTAGGATCTAACTTCTCTTAATGAAGGACTCGTACAGGGAGGTGAGCTGGTCCTTCAGGTCCTGTGCGTAGGGGTCCAGCTTTTCCTTCAGGTCTTCAGCGTAGGGTGTGAGACTCTGCTGGACCATCTGGGCTCTCTCTCTAATCTGGGCCTGAAGATCCTCAGCCAGAGGGGTCACGGTCTTCTGGAACTCCTGCAGACGCTGGTCAACCTTCTCCTTGATTTCAGCAGTGTAGGGCTCCAGCTGAGCCTGCAGCTCCTTCACGCTCTGCTCCAGGTTTCCTCTCAGCTCCTCACTCTTCTGGAGCAGAGTGGCTTTCAGGGTCTCAGAATCCAGGGATTCTGCATATGGAGTCATGGCGGTCCTGAGCTCCTCCACTCTCTGCTGGATCTGGCTCTTGAGGTTGTCGGCATAGGGCTCCAGCTGGTCTCTCACAGTGATCAGGTCCTGGCCCAAACGCTCCCTCAACACTTCAGTCTCTTTGGTGATTCTGGTCATCAGCTCTTCAGCCAGAGGATCCACCTGTTTCTTGAGGGTGATGGCATATTCGCTGGCCACATCGGCACTCTGGGTCAGTCTAGCACTGTTAAATGGAGAAGGACATTTGAGTTTTATATCAGGGCAAAAGTGACCAAACTCCATCGCACACCTGCAGGTGATAGGTGCGTCGGATAATAAGACCAGCTAGTCATTCAAGCAGATAAGGAACTCCGGCACACTATCATTACTTGCACTTTTCAATCAAGTTTATTCACACACAACGTTTCGGTCACACGACCTTCGTCAGGAGTATACAAAATGTTCAAAAACATCTCTTTTTAAATTCGTACATGACCACTCCACAGAACTCCATCTGTAAACAATTAAGCTCATTAGGAGTACATATTAGGAGTATATCAGGGCATAAGAAATAATCTACATAGCAGTGTTCTGCAGGTAAATATTCTTGACTTACTTGACGTCCTGTCCCAGTTGGGAAGACCTGATCATCTTGACGGTTTCCTCTGCGGTTTGTGTTGCCTTTGACACATAGCTCCAGAATGCATCAGTCAGCTGCTCCAGCTGTGGCTTGGGCTCATCAGCAGAGAATAGGTTGGCCTGGCAACCTGTTGATGGAACATTTCAGTTTGATCACATGGTATTTTTAATAGATTCTGTAAATTGTTCAAGCCTCGATACATTTTCATATAGTTATTTTCTCTGAATTTCTCACCTGTAAATACAGCAAGTGCAAGAACCACAAGAACCTTCATGGTGTTCAGTTTTAGTCTATAAGTAAAACCAATTTTAATGAATATCTCTCTTTTACATACATGCAAATAGTGCTCTATTTCGAATTCACTAAAAAGTGTGAAAGTTCTTACCTGTGTCTGTGTGTTTTGATTGACGCTGTCCTGTCTGAAGAACAAGTGTGAAGGTTGTGGTTTCACATCTGTATTTATATAGGATAGGGAGGTGATTGTCATAGTGGAAACCCAAAGTCCAGTGGGTAGTGCATTGCTGTCACTACTCCACATCATAATGCCCTGACTGTACCTATTATCACCAAAGATTCCTGAATTAAACGTAGATTATGATGACTAATTGGACAGTAAATTGTACTAAATGGCAAAATAAATATTGTTGTATATGAACACAAAAGACTTCGTAAAATATCAGTAAAAGAGGCTTATCAATAAGTTGGGAAATGTTTCTCATATCATAGCTAGCTTTTTTTTTTTGTTTTTGTTTTTTTTTCTTTTACAATTACAGGGAATTCAACACAGACAATCATTCTAATTTAATTAATTTTCACATAAAGATGTTTTGAATACCACCATTTACTTGATCCATAAAACCAGACTGAAGCTAATGTTGAACCTTTGAACTAATAACAGTAACAAATGATACCAGACTTTGTTCGCTTCCTGATAAGATTTGACACATCACTAAAAAGATATATGTTTTTGATCCTGGTTGAATTGTTGAGTTATATACGTTCATTTCATGAAGGTGGATACAGTATATTTCTTACTCTTATGTCTTAAAAGTTTGCAGTAAGTCCTTTCAGTTCATTTTAATGAACCTATCAGATACTGACCTCAAGTGATTCTTAGGAGGAGTTGTTATCAGAATCAGGGACTATACGCATAACACTCTGTCCAGGTTACACATCCTGCTAAACACCTATAGATAAGGGGGGCTGTTTAACCTAGAACCAATTTATTGCTGCTGAAGGATGTATGATCTTCCTATCATTTAAAAATGCAGACTATGGAAACTTGCTTTTTTTTAAGGTACAAGAGAGTTCAAACAAATTGACTTAGAAAGTCAAGTTAACATTGTCAATGCTATTTGAGTAAGTTAAATAGCATTTTAACTCCTAAAAGTTGACTCTAATGAATTTCAGGGATAATCTGTGAGTGAAGTTTAATTTTCCTTTGGCTAAATGATAGACCTTAAATCTGTTTCACTAAGACAACAATGATTATGAGTTGGCCTTAAATAAGCCATAATAGCCTACTTGTAAACTCAGAAGTTAAAAACTAGATGGAAGTTGAATGTATTATGCTCATATAATTTACCTATGCAAATGTGAAGAGACTGTGTGTGACAGTATACAAACTAGTTTGAACATCCATAAAACCAGGGACTCTTTGAACAATGAAATGTTGATTTACTCATCTCAGCAAAACAGTGGGAAAAAACGAATAATCGCAAAACATGCTATATGTTTTAAAGTGCTCAAGATGTAAAATATCATTTATTGAGTTTTTTTTCAAAGGTAGCATGTTTTTACAGTAACTGCACAGTAACTGGCACTCACTCTGTGTGTTCGGGTTTGAGGGAGAATAAAACGATTGGCTGGACTCCCGCAAACTAGAAATATCTATGAATAAAACATAAAAACTAATACATTTTAATTCATCTGTTGCAGAAAAGCAAGAACAACTAAAACAAAATAGAAACGATTTAAAGGCCAGAGTTTATATTTGTAGACTTCCCTCACCGCGTAAAACTGACTTTTTGTTCAGTGATTAATTCTGTATGCTGGCAAATCCTAATTACTGTATAACAAAGTGTAGATATTATTAAAGATTTGTTGATAATAACAGAGATGTGTGAGATCGCGATGAACTGATGTCAGCTTTTTAGGAATTATTATGGGAGCGCACTTTGCGCAGTCATGCCAA